TTGTCAACCAAGACCTACCTCTTCCTCTTCTCTTTTAGGCTCTATACTTGCATGTGCAATGGACATATCCTGCAAATGTCCTAAAGTTACCCCAAATTAGTTGAAATTAGGTACAGCTAATAGGAACAGAAAAAACTAAAAGACCAGTGGTTTGTATAGGAGCTGTTTCTCTGATAAAATAAACAAAATAGATGAACCCCTAGGCAAGACCTATCAAGAAAAAAGAAAGAGTACACATATAAACAAAAACAGAAACAAAGAAGGAATAATCACAATGGATACCACAGAAATACAAGGCATTATTAGAGAATACTGTGAAAAATTATATGTCAAAAAATTGGATAGCCTAGGAGAAATGGACGACTTTATAGAAAAATACAATCTTCCAATACTGAAACAGTAAGAAACAGAAAATCTGAACACACCAGTTACCAGAAACAAAGTCAAACTGGCAATCAAAAAACTCCAAAAAAACAAATTCCATATTCAGAGGGCTCCACAGCTAAATTCTACCAAACATTTAAACAGGAGCTAATACCCATACTTCATAAAGTATTCCAAAAAGTAGGCAAGGAGGGGAAACTTCCAAACTCATTCTATGAAGCCACCATCACTCTAATACTAAAACAAGGCAAAGACCCCACAAAAAAAGAAAATTACAGACCAACATTCCTTTTGAACAAAGAAGCAAAAAATACACAACAAAATATTAGCAAACCGAACTCAAAAATACATCAAAATGATCATCATAATCAACTGGGATTTATTCCAGGAATGCAGGAATGGTACAGTATTTGAAAATCCATCATCATCATCCACTATATCAACAAAAAGGACAAAAATCATACGATCACCTCCATAGATACTGAAAAAGCATTTGACAAAATTCAACATCCATTCATGATAAAAACTTTCAACAAACTGAGTATACAGGGCAAGTACTTCAACAAAATAAAGGCCATATACAACAAACCCACAGCCAACATCACACTAATAGCAAAAAGCTGAAAGCTTTTCCTCTAGAATGGGGAAAAAGACAAGGATGCCCACTCCCACCACTTTTATTCAACATAGTACTGAAGGTCCTAGCAATGACACAAAACAAAGAAATAAAAGGCATGCCAACTGGCAAGGAAGAAGTTAAACTGTCACTATTTGGAGAGGACATGATATTATACATAGAAAACCCTAAAGACTTCACCAAAAAACTATTGGAACTAATAACTGAATTCAGCAAACTTCCAGGATACAAAATTAATACACAGAAATCTGTTGTGCTCCTATATACTAATAACGAATTAGCAGACAGAGAAATCAGAAAAACAACTCCATTTACAATTGCATCGAAAAGAATAAAATACCTAGACATCAATGTAACCAAGGAAACGAAAGACCTATACTCTGAAAACTATAAGACACTCATGAGAGAAATTAAAGAAGACACAAAAATAAATGGATATCTATCCCATGCTCATGTATAGGAAGAATTATTATCAAAATGAACATATTGCCCAAGGCAATTTACATTCAATGCAATCTATATCAAAATTCCAACAGCATTTTTAAATGAACTAGAACAAATAGTTCTAAAACTCATATGGAACCACAAAAGACCCTGAATAGCCAAAGCCATCCTGAGAAGGAAGAACAAAGCTGGGGGTGTTACATTCCCGGATTTAAAGCTCTACTATGAAGCTGCAGTAATCAAAACAGTTTGGTACTGGCATAAGAACAGACCCATAGATCAGTGGAACGGAATATAGAATCATTATAAACCCACATATATGGTGAATTAATATACGATAAAGGAGTCATGAATATACAACGGGGAAAAGACAGCCTCTTCAACAACTGGTGTTGGGAAAACTGGACAACTACATGTAAGAGAATGAAACTGGGTAACTGTCTAACTCCACACACAAAAGTAAACTCGAAATGGATCAAAGGCCTCAATTAAGTCATGAAACCATAAAAGTCTTAGAAGAAAACAAAGGCAAAAATCTCTTGAACATAAATATGAGCAATTTTTTCTTGGACACATCTCCTTGGGCAAGAAAAACTAATAAAAAGTGAACAAGTAGGACTATATCAAACTAAAAATCTTCTGTATAGCAAAGGACAACATCATCAGAATAAAAAGGCAACCTACAGTATGGGAGAATATATTCGTAAATACTTTATCCCTAAGAGGTTAACATCTAAAATAAATAAAGAACTCATACACCTCAACACCCAAAAAAACAAATTACCCAATTATAATATGGGCAGAGGACCTGAACAGACATTTCTCCAAAGAAGAAATTCAAACAGCCAACAGGCACATGGAATAAAGATGTTCCACATCACTAGTCATCAGAGAAATGCAAATCAAAACCAGAATGAGCTATTACCTCACTCCAGTTAGAATGGTCACTATCCAAAAGAGAAGAAATAACAAATGTTGATGAGGATGTGGAGAAATGGGAACCCTCCTGTTAGTGGGAATGTCAACTGGTACACCTGCAGGAGAGCAGTATGGAGGTTCCTCAAAAACTAAAAATAGAAATACCATATGATCCAATAATTTCTTTTCTACGAATTTACCCAAAGAAAACACAATCCCTAATTCGAAAAGATATATGCACCCCTATGTTTATTGCCGCACTATTTGCAATAGCCAAGTTATGGAAGCAACCTAAGTGTCCATCAGTAGATGAATGGATAAATAAGACGTGGTACATATATTATTATTTGGCCATCAAGTGGAATGTATTATTCAGCCATAAAAAGAAAAGAAATACTGCCATTTGTAAAAACATGGATGCATCTAGAGGGTGTTATGCTCAGTGAAATAAGCCAGGCATAGAAAGAGAAATAACATATTATTTTACTTATTTGTGGAATATAAATCAAAGTATAACAGAAGGAACAAAAATAGCAATAGACTCAGGGACACTGAGAATTGTCTAGAGGGGTTGGGGCAGGTCAAGGGGAAGGGTGAGGAGTACAAAGGAGCACAATAATTCACAATCACACTGTAAGTTGGTCATGGAGACAATAGTATAGCATGGAGAATATAGTCAATGATTCTGAAACACCTTTCTACAATAGAGGGGGTGAAGATTAATAGCAGGGGTAACTGCTGAACCACTGTGTTGTACATATCAAACCAGTATAAGACTGTGTATCAACGATACTTTAAAAAAATGGTGGTTTATAAAACATAGTTTATTTCTCTCAAATAACAGTCTGGACCAGGCTAATATGAAAATTCTTCTAAAGTTCTCATATAGATTCTGTTCCTTTCTTCTTTCCACTCCACTATGCCTAAAATAGGGCCCCCATTTCATGGCCCAAGTCCCACCAAAACAATCACATTCCTAACAGACGGGTACAAGCAGGTAGAAGAGAGAGAGAGGAGGGTTCATTTATCCCTCTGTAATATACTTCCTGGAAGTAGAATACACTACTCATACTTTTATCCCATGGACCAGACTAGTTTCATGGCCATATCTAACTGCTTGAGACACTAGAATGTAGTCTTTATGTTAGGCAGTCAAACTGTGTTACTAGGGAGAAAAAAAGAAGGAGATCAGATACTGAAGGACAACAGCATTCTTGGCCACACATTCCAAAGTAACCATGTCCCAAAATGAACTTACCAGTTTTCAGGACAACCTAATTTTATACCTTTGTGATGGGTCCACCCTACCTTTATATCCATTCTGCCTAACAAACTCATTCTCCTCTCTTAATACTAACATCATGTGTCTTTTTGTGAAGCTTTCCTTTACCCAACCAACCACCTTTTCCTCCAGCCTGAACAGACTGGACATGTTTGGATCACCTTCATACATAGCATACACCTCCATTTTTGCATTGCTAATTCTGTAACAGATTTTTTTTAAGTCTACACCTACATTCATCCTTCTTCCACTAGAAGGTAAATTTCTATGTGCACATAGGTCTGTATCATAATAAACTTTACAAAAATCAACCATTAATATCTGCTTCCTAAAATTATGGTGGCAGGGAACTGGTAAAAGAGGTACCTAATAAAAAAGACATCATAGTATGTAGGACTGTAGTATAATGGGATACATAAAAATCCCAAATTATAGAAGATTATCAAAGCAGTTAAAATAACATGGCCATCTGCTCTTACCTATCCACTGCTGTCCTCGATACACATTACTTACACATTTTCTACATAAATCTCTTTTTTTAATAAAAACAAATAAATTTAGTGGGGTAAATTTTAAGTATGTTTACATTTGGTTATACTAATAGGTTTATATTTAATTTAGGCCAATGAATGGGTTCTATGCTTAGATTCCCACTTGAATCTCAGCAGTTAGTCCATCAGAGAAGACCTGGGTAGGCATTTCTAAACCCTTGGGAAAGTCACCAAGGAGCTTCAATATTTTAATGATTTTTCTCTGAAAGAAACTATCTAGACAATCATACTATTCAACTTAGAAAGCACAGCATTACAACTGATAAACACATGAGTAAAATAACATACTAATCTATGATGCCTTCTTAGTCAGAAATTTTCATTGACATATAGATTTTACTTAAGACTCTCAAAGTATCAATTTAAATTGAAAAATGACCAAAATCATGTAAAACCTGTATATAACAGCTGTTATACCCAACCTTTTAAAAACTACCTTCAAGATATAAACAATGGAATACCATGTGTAATTTTAAGTTGAATATCAACTATAAAGGTAGCTGAGCACTTCAAAATGCTTATAGCAGGAGAGCTTCAATGGTCCAAGTATGACTTATAGTTTAACCACATGCTTCAGTGTGTACTATCAATTTAGACTATGATTCTGGGTTGGCATTCCAGAAGTCTAATCATAGCCTTCTTTACCCTCAGTCCTCTAGCATAGACAATGCCCTTGCTGTTCTGCCTGCTGCTCCAGTTAGGCATAAAGGCCCAACCTCACTGCCAATAGCAGTTAGATATAACGTCTGTAAATAAAAAAATACATAATTACTTATTATCTTACCATGAGTTCCTGGTGGTTGTAATACATCTCCTGTCAAGTGACACCACCCTACTGGGAAAATATCTCGACAGTAATACTTGCACCAATAATCAAAACCCTTACTCCAGCCATCAAATGTGATATAAATTTCATCTCCTTTAACATTTCCAACAGTTGCAGGGCCAATCATATAAGGGTTCTTTCTGTCTGCAGCTTCCAATTTCATTCCCACTTTAAAATTATTTAGAGGTGGCTTTGGTGGTTCCTACCAAAACAATAAAAAAAAGTTTCCATTGTTAAGATGTAATAAATCATTCAATTGTACTCTTACAACCTTTAACAACCAAAAATTAAGCTCCATGTTTATCAATTAACTACAAGGAAACAGTTCTCACAGATTTCTCTGAAACTGCTCTACAACATCTCACTTACTCTGGAGCAGAGCCAAGAACCTGGAAGGAAACAAAACCAGCCTGATATTAATTAATTCATTCATGTATTCAAGAAATATGTACTATATAGCATGTACCAGGAATTTGGATTCACAGGTGAAAAAAATATCAAAGATCCCTCCTCTGGTGCACCTTACATTCTAGTGCTGGTGTTAGTAGTGGTTAGGAGCTGAGTAGGGGAAAGAAGGGCAAGCAATCAATAAGAAATTTTAACAGAGATAGTCAAACAAATCTAATAAATACATATATTATAGGATATGTCAAAGGTGATAAGCCCAAAGAGAACGAACAGCAGCAGATAATTACAAAAAGTTAAAGTATGCAAATGCTAACAGAAGTCTTAGAAAACCCAACTGCTATGTTAAAGGGAACATCTTTTCCTTCAATTTCTTTTTATCCTAGTAAATGTCACCATCAGCAACCACTTATCCAAGCCAGAAGTATGTAAATAGTCCTACACCAGTGGTTCTCAACCTGACTGAATATAGAATCACCTGGGGCCACACCACAAGAGATACTGATTAAATCAGTTTGAGGTAGAGCCCAGGCATCAACATATTTTGAATCCCCAGGTGATTCTAACATGCAGCAGGGACTGAGGACCACTAACCTAGACACAACCTTTTTCCCTTAACACTCAGACTCAAAGACAACAACCTGCCAGTTCTACCCCTAGATCTTTAGAATAACATTTAAACTTAAACTTCAGGCCAACAGGCACATGAAAAGATGCTCCACATTGCTAATCATCAGGGAAATGCAAATCAAAACCACAATGAGGTATCACATCGCACCAGTTAGAATGGCTACTATCCAAAAGACAATAACAAGTGTTGAAAAGGATGTGGAGAAAAGGGAACCCTCATACACTATTGGTGGGAGTGAAATTGGCACAGCCACTATAGAAAACGGTATGGAGTTTCCTCAAAAAACTAAAAATAGAAATACCTTACCACCCAGTAATTTCACTTTTGGAATTTACCTGAAGAAAACAAAATCTCTGATTTGAAAAGATATTTGCACCCCTATGCTTATCACCACGTTACTTATAATAGTCAAGACATGAAAGCTCTGAAAGTGTCAAAAGAGGAATGGATAAAGATGTGGTCCATATATACAATGAAATATTATTCTGTCATAAAAAAGAAATCCTACAATTTGTGACGACATGGATGAACTTAGGGGGTATTATGCTAAGTGAAACAAGCCAAACGGAGAAAGACAAATACCACATGACTTCATTCATATGTGGACTCTAACAACAAAACAAATTAAACAAAATAGAAATAAAAAAATTAAACTTCAATTGTTTAGTATACACGAGGCATTGTTTTAAATGTTTTCCAATATATTCATTTAATTCTCACAGCAACCCCGTGAAGTCAGTGAAATTATTATCCCCATTTTACATATGATAAAACTAATGCAAAAACAGCCTCAGAATGGATGTTTTTGCCGCAAATACGCCTTAACTATCAGAGCTAGATTTTAAACCTAGGCAGCCAACATCATGCAACACTCTATTCCATCATCTGCCTGGCCAACTCAAACTTATCCACTTCAAAGCCCAGCTCTCCTGGCCACTTTAAAGCTTACCTGACCAACTCCTGCTCACTTCTAGGCCCACATCAAAGAGATGTGCTGGCCTTCAGCTGTGGAACAACTGTTGAAATTCGTTGACTCCACTATGAGACTAAGGGATTATCAAAAGCAGGTATTATATCTTATTTTGTTATTTCAAGCACAGAATCCTGCAGCAAGAGTTTCTTTTTTAATGAGCGAACAGTGATCACATGAAGAACAAATTTTTTACCAAAATATAATCTACAAATCGTATCTGGGGGAGTCTCCTGGAAAAATACAGCAGAGTAGAAAGGCAAGGAAGAATACTCCCAAAAATACATAAAACACAAAAATACAACAAATACAACTAAACCTGAAAGTGACCTGAAGACTGCAGAACTGACTACCCATGCCTGGGGGAGAAGAGAAGACCTCACAGAAAAGGCTAAAGTGGCAAAGCTGAGATGTGGCAGGAACCAAACCCTCCCCCAACCCAAGCCCACAGGCAGGAAAAAGAGGAAAAGAGTTGGGAGGGGATAGGAGCTCAGGATCTCTGAACACCTGGACCTGGAGATCTGCTCCAGGAACACGAGCCCATGTTACATGGTGCTCTGGAGATGAGTGGGGCTGGACCACAAAGACACCCACAGCACTCGGGGAGGCTGAGATTCCAGCTGCGTGTGGAGAACAGGCACACTCTACTGGCCTTGAGAAAAAAGCAAAGCAGGCAATTTGAAATACTTTCCAGCAACGAGAGGGGTCCCAGAGGGGAGAAGAATGGACAGGGCTCTCTTCTCAGGACAACGGGCAGGTGGACAATGGCTCTCCATCCCACCCTCAGCCCAACAGGTTGGTAACTCTTGAGAGCCCCAGATGCTCCATCCCCTCTGCTGGTCATGCAGCCCGGAGGCTCCTTTCTTCACACACCGCCAGCAGACAACCCATTTGGCCCAGCAGTAGTGTCAGTTTTTACTGCCAGGTAGGCAGAGAAAGACCATCCCAGCTTTCTCAGCTTCTTTTTGGCCCAGCCAGGGATACGGATGGCCCCCAGGAAGCTCCTTCCTCCCCATGGGCACCAGGTCCTGTGCACCTGTGACTCCACCATTGCTATAGGGCAAGGTAGAGGGCGGCCCCACCCGTAGCAACTCCACCAAAGACGTCTGTGCTGATCAGTGGAAGAACACTACCTGCCCAGAATCAGACCACTATAAGCCACACAGAAAGGCAGCCTTACCCCACTACACACCAACAGCTGGGACTCCCACACTGGAAAGTAAACAGTGTTCAGCTTCTGGGCACTAGAGGGTGCCTCCTTCATAAAGCTATTACTCGACTGGAAGAAATACAAAAAAACCCTGGTAAAATGAGGAAGTAGAGGCCTATGGTCCCAACAAAACTACAAGTGAAAATCCCAGAAAAAGGGCAGAATGAAACAGAAATCACCAATGTCCTTGATAAATATTTCTAAAACAAAGTAATAAACATGCTCACAAATCAACAGAAAAATATTCAAGATCTCAGGGAGGATTTCAACAAAAAAGATAGAAGACCTGCAAAAGAGTCACTCTGAGCTGAAAAATACAGTACCTGAAATGAAATATATAAAGGAGGGATTTAACAGCAACAAAGGTTGAAGAAGTTGTAAATTATATAAAAACTAGGGAACAAGAAAATAAAACAGAAAACCAGAGAAAAAAAGGATCTATAAAAATGAAAGAATAATAAACCTGTGTGACCAATCCGAACATAAAAATAATCACCTAATGGTGTACCAGAAAGAGAAGACAGAGACAAAGGAACAGAAAGACTTTCTGAGAAAATAATTGTTCAAAATGTCCCCAGTCTGGGGAAGGAAAGAGACACTCAGGTCATGGAAGCACAGAAAGCCCCTAACAAAAAAAACCCAGAAAGACAACACCAAGATATACAATAATTAAAATGGCAAAGATCAAGAATAAGGAGAGACTACTGAAAGTAGCCAGAAAAAGAAAAAAAATTATGTATGAAGGAAACCCCATCAAGCTATTAGCAGACTTCTCAGTGGAAACTCTAAAAACCAGAAGGAAGGCATGATATATTGAATGTAATGAAACAGAAGGGCCTCCAACCAAGAACCCTCTACCCAGCAAGATTATCATTTCAATAATGAAGCAGGGATTAAACAGTTTTCCAATAAACAAAGGTTGCAGGAATTCACCACCACTGAGCCACCCTACAGGATCTGTTAGATGGACTGCTGTAGATGGAAATTTCCCTCAGTCTAAATAGCTTTCACCATTGAAAATAAATTCACAGTAAAGGTAGTAGACCAATTAATTACCAAGCAATTACAAAATTAAAACAAAAGGAGCAAAATCAACAACTCACAATATCAGTCAAGGGATACACAATCAGTGCAGATTATAACATCTAATAATAAAGTGTGGAGGAGGAAAGAAAAGAAGAAAAATCTACAGATTTTGTCTGAAATACAGTAATCAGCAATTTAAGATAGACTTACATAGTAAGGGAGCAATCCTTAAACCTTTTGTAACCACAAAAATAAAGCAAAAAAGGAGAAAAGAGAGGAAAAGGAAAAGGAAAACATCCAATCATAAAAATAAATAAATCCATCAAATAACAGAGACATGAGAATAAGAGAGAGAAAAAGGAAGAGAGAGGAGATACAAAAAAAATTAGAAAAATTAGTAAAATAGCAATAGGTACATATCTATCAATAATCACCTTAAATTTAAATGGAATGAATGCACAATCAAAAGACATAGAGTGGCAGGATGGATAAAAAAACAAGACCCATTTAACCCATTGATACGCTGCCTATAAGAGACTCACTTCAGACCCAGACATACACAGACTATAAGTGAAGGGATGGAAAAAGATATTTCATGCAAATACTAGGGAGAAAAAAACCAGGAGTAGCAGTGCTTATATCAGAAAAAGTAAAAACAAAGAAAGTAAAAAGAGACAAAGAAGGACATTACATAATAATGACAAAGGAGTCAGTTCAACAAGAGGATATAACCATTATAAATATCTATGCACCCAATATAGGATCACCTAAACATGTCAAACAAATACTAACAGAATTAAAGGGGGAAACAGACTGCAAAACATTCGTTTTAGGAGACTTGAACACACCACTCACATCAATAGATGGATCAACAAGACAGAAAATAAGTAAGGAAACAGAAGCACTGAATAATACATGAGATCAGATGGACTTCACAGATTATCCACATGACATTCCACCTAAAAGCAGCAGGATACACAATCTTCTCAAGTGTATATGGAGTGTTTCCAAATATAGAACACATACTAGGACACAAAAAGAGCCTCAATAAATTCAAAGAGACTGAAATTTTACCAACCAGCTTCTCAGAACACAAAGGTATGAAACTAGAAATCAATTACACAAAGAAAAACAAAAAAGCCTAAAAACAACATGGAGGCTTAACAACATGCTCCTCAATAACCAATGGATCAATAACCAAATTAAAACAGAGATCAAGCAACATATGGACACAAATAAAAACAGCAACTCAACAGTCCAAAACCTGTGGGATGCAGCGAAGGCAGTTCAAAGAGGAAAATACACAGCAATACAAGCTTACCTCAAGAAATAAGAACAATCCCAAATAAATAGTCTAAAATCATGATTAAAGAAACTAGAAAAAGAACAAAGGATGCCCAAAGTGAGTAGAAGAAGGGACATAATAAAATAAATAAATCTGAGAAATAAATACATTTGAGAATAATAAAACAATAGAAAGAATCAAAGAAACCAGGAGCTGGTTCTTCAAGAAAAGAAACAAAACAGATAAACCCCTAGCCAGACTTACCAAGTAAAAAAAAAGAGCACGCACACGTAAACAGAATCAGAAACAAAGAAGGAATAATCATAACAGACACCACAAAAATACAAAGAATTATTAGAGAATACTATGACAAATTATATGCCAACAAATTGGACAACCTACAAGAAATGGACAACTTTCTAGAAAAATACAACCTTCCAAGACAGATCCAGGAAGAAACAGAAAACCTGAACAAATTACCAGCAATGAAATCAAACTGGCAATCAAAAAAACTACACAGGAACAAAAGCCCTGGTCCAGATGGCTTCACACATTTAATCAAACATTTAATATTTATGCTCGTTAAAGTATTCCAACAAGTAGAAGAGAAGGGAATACTGCAAAATTCATTTTATGAGGCCAGCATCACTCTAATACAAAAACCAAAGACACCACATAAAAAGAAAATTACAGACCAATATCCCTGATGAACATAGATGCACAAATCCTCAACAAAATATTAGCAAACTGAATTACAAAACACATCAAAAAGATAACCCATCATGACCAACTGGGATTTATTCCAGAGATGCAAGGATGGTACAATATTCATAAATCAATCAATATCATATACCACAGCAACAAAAAGGAAGACAAAAATCATATGCTCATCTCAATAGATAGGGAAAAAGCATTTGACAAAATTCAATATCCATTCATGATGAAATCTATCAACAAAATGGGTATAAGAGGGTATGTACCTCAACATAATAAAAGCCATATAAGACAAACCCACAGCCACCGTTATACTTAAAAGTGAAAAGCTGAAAGCTTTTCCTCTAAAATTGGAAACAAGAAAAGGATGCCCACTCTCACCACTTTCATTCAACATAGTACTGGAGGTCCTAGCCACTGCAATCAGACAACACAGAGAGATAAAAGACATCCAAATTGATAAGGAAGAAACTAAACGGTCACTATTTGCAGATGATATATTATACATAGAAAACCCTAAAGACTCCACCAAGAAACCATCAGAATACCTGTATTCAGCAAAGTTGCAGGATACAAAATTAATACACAGAAATCTGTTGCTTTCCTATACACTAACAATAAACTACCAGAAAGAGAAACCAGGAAAGCAATTCCATTCACAATTGCATCAAAAAGAATAAAATACCTAGGAATAAAACTAACCAAGGAAGTGAAAGACCTACCCTGAAAACTACAAGACACTCATTACAGAAATTAAAGAATATACAAATAAATGGAAATACATCTTGTGGCTCATGGATAGGAAGAACTGATATTGTCAAAATGGCCATCTGACCTAAAGCAATCTACAGAATCAATGCAATCCCTATCAAAATACCAACAGCATTCTTCAACGAACTAGAGCAAATGGTTCTAAAATTCATATGGAACCACAAAAGACCCTGAATAGCCAAAGCAATCCTGAAAAGAAAGAATAAAAGCTGGGGGATTATGCTCCTTGACTTCAAGCTCTACTTCAAAGCCACAGTAATCAAGACAATTCGGTACTGGCACAAGAACAGAGCCCTAGACCAATGAAACAGACTAGAGAGCCCAGATATAAACCCAAGCATATATGGTCAATTAATATACAATAAAGGAGCCATGGACATATAATGGGGAAATGACAGCCTCTTCAATAACTGGTATTGGCAAAACTGGACAATTACATGTAAGAGAATGAAACCGGATTGTCTAACCCCATACACAGAAGTAAACTCGGAATGGATCAAAGACCTGAATGTAAGTCACAAAACCATGAAACTCTTGGAAGACAACAGAGGCAAAAGTCTCCTGAATATAAACATGATCCACTTTTTCCTGAACGCATCTCCTCAAGCAACAGAAACAAAAGTAAAAATGAACACATGGGACTACATCAAACTAAAAAGCTTCTGTACAGCAAAGGACACCATCAACAGAACAAAAAGGCATCCTACAGTATGGGAGAACATATTTGTAAACAACATATCTGACAAGGGGTTAATATCCAAAATACGTAAACAACTCACGCGCCTCAACAACCAAGCAAATAACCTGATTAAAAAATGGGCAGGGGATATGAACAGACACTTCTCCAAAGAAATTCAGATGGCCAACAGGCACATGAAAAGATGCTCCACATCACTAATCATCAGGGAAATGCAAATTAAAACCACAATGAGATATCACCTCACACCAGTTAGGATGGCCAACATCCAAAAGACTAGGAAAAAAAAAAAAAGAAAAGAAAAAGAAAAAGGGGAACCCTCCTACACTGCTGGTGGGAATGTAAATTAGTTCAACCATTGTGGAAAGCAATATAGAGGTTCCTCAAAAAACTAAAAATAGAAATACCATTTGACCCAGGAATTCCACTCCTAGGAATTTACCCAAGGTAAACAAGTTCTCAGAATCAAAAAGATATATGCACCCCTATGTTTATTGCACCGCTATTTACAATGCCAAGATATGAAAGCAACCTAAGTGTCCATTAGTAGATGAATGGATAAAGAAGATGTGGTACATGTAAACAATGGAATGCTATTCAGCCATAAGAAAGAAACAAATCCTACCATTTGCAACAACATGGATAGAGCTAGAGGGTATTATGCTCAGTGAAATAAGTCAGAGAAAGACAAATACCAAATGATTTCCCTCGTTTGTGGAGTATAACAACAAGGCAAAACTGAAGGAACAAAACAGCGGCAGTCTCACAAATTCCAAGAAGGGACTAGTGGTTACCAAAGGAGAAGGGTGGGAGAGGGTGGGTAGGGAGGGAGGGAGAAGGGGACTGAAGGGTATTATGATTAGTACACATGGTGGGGGGGGATCACGGAGAAGACAGTGTAGCACAGAGAAGACAAGTAGTGACTCTGTGGCATCTTACTACACTGATGAACAGTGACGCAATGGGGTGGGGGAGGAGGGACTCTATAATATAGGTGAATGTAGGAAACACATTGTTTTTCATGTGAAACCTTCCTAAGAGTATATATCAGTGATACCTTAATTAAAAAAACTACAATCAATATTTATCATTCCTGGTATAAGTAGTTATAATAAAAGTTGATTGAGAAAGCAATCAGGACAGAGAGCGAGAAAGAACTATTTTAACCCATAATTTAACTAAAACTTTGATTTTATTCATTGTTTCTTAAACTGTATCCTTTCAACATTTTCTCAACAGCATAAACTATTTTGGAATGTTCTCTTTTTGTTATATAACAAGTATTTCCTTACAACAAATTCTGGTAACTGGTTTTAACATTTTTTTACTTCTAAAACCAAATTTTTCCAAGTAACTTTGAAGAGGTTTTTTGGCCCATCATCGTTTTCTCTGATATCAAAGGGATGATTAACATAGCAAAGTGAGGGAATGCTTCACTTCAGAAGGTAAATAAAAACAGCAATGAACATTTTCTTCCAGCAGAGCACCCCTTTCATATCTAAGGTCAAGAAAGAGGGTATGAATTCATTGTGATTATAATTGGGCCTTTTTTATGACTTGCTGTCATAACCTGAATTACATCCTCCCCCCCAAAATTCATGTTAAAGTCCTAACCCCCAGTACCTCAGACAGGATTTTATTTGGATATAGGGTCCTTAAAAAGGTAATTAAATTATAATGAGGTCATTAGGGTGGGCCTTCATCCAATATGACCAATAAACTCACAAGAGGAGGAAATTTAGAACACAAGACACACAGATCATGTGAAGACCCTGAGAGAAGACGGCCATCTACAAGCCAAAGAAAAAGACATCAGAAGTAACCAAGCCTCTGGATTTAGGACATCTAGCCTCCAGATAAATTTCTGATTGTTTAAGCCACTGTTAAGGACTGAATTGTGTCCTCCCAAAATTTCTAAATTGAAGCCCTAACCCCTAATGTGGCTGTATTTAGAGACAGGGACTTTAAGGGGGTAGTAAAGGTTAAGTGAGATCAGAAGGGTGGGGCCCTAATCCAATAGGACTGGTATCCTTGTTAAGAAGAGGAAGAGAAACAAGAGATCCCTCTCCTTCCATACATGCAAAGAGAAGAGGCCATGTGATGACACTGAAAAAGGAGAGAGGTCTCACCATAAACCAGTGCTAATGGCACTATGACTTGAACTTCTAGCGCCCAGAATTGTGAAAAAATTGATTTCTGTTGTTTAAGGCACCATCTGTGGTACCTCATTATGGCACGCCTAGTGGACTAATATACTTGCCACTCCAGTAATTTAAAAAGCATTTTTGTTTTTACATGTCAAAGAAGACAAAGCATTGAAGTGTCCCAATTAAAACAATAAAACCACAGCCCAGTTGATGGAAACCTTTTATAACATCTTTCTTACCTCCTTAAATAATGCTGCAGGAGCCATTTTACATCCCTTCAGAGTTCGTAAAACGAACATTGGCCAAGATGACGGATTCATCTGGTACCCTATTTCATAAAACAAATCAGATATCATGAAAAGGCCTCCCTGTGGCAACAGAGCTAGCTGGTATAAAAATTACATTTCATTTAACCTCTCTTCTCCAGAGAATGACTTTCTTATCAAGGAAATCAGAAAATGGACAAGGGTTGCAGATACACCCTGCAATAAGTATCCCCACTGTACTGTTTGGCAGCAATGCTACAGTAGGGGTAGAAACTCATTTTAGAAAAGCCTTTAGCTAGGATTTACCATTATACACATATATGTTGGGAATGGGTCATAATACTAGGGGGTGATCCAAGCCAGAACCCATGAGAGCTTGCATTCCCCACCAACAGCTACACAAGCAGAAAAAAGGCTGCAGAAGACTTCCAGCCCCTCTTTTTCCTCAGAACCTTACTTCTTTTCAGAAAAATCTACTTTCTCATAAAACTCAGCAAATGCACACTTACAAAGGTGCATTTCATTATATATAATTTTCACCTCCAAAGGGGAAAAAATATATGGAACTCCAATTAACAATTTACATGCTGAAGTATTTAGGGGAAATGTACTGACATCAGTAACTTACTCTGAAATGGATTTAAAAATTAGATGGACTGACAAATCTAGGGCAGATGGATAGGAGAATGATAAAACAAGTACAAAAAATGATAATAGCAGGACCTAGGTAGTAGGTATGTGGGTGTTCACTGTAAAATTCTTTTACCTTTCCTGTATGTTTGAAATTTTCCATACACTATGTTAGGAAAAAAAAAACAGCTCTCACTTTAGCAATCTTTACACACACTAAACATGATCTTCTCTTAGAATTTCTATCAAATGCTATCAAAATAGATTTCAACAGGTGTCTTTTCTAGGGATCTCATCAATTACCGCAGTGGGATCTCATCTGCCAGCGAAGCAGGGAGCAGGGGTCTGCTATGTTTACTACCCTCTGTGGGGCAATCTGTTTCATGCAACACTTGCCTGCCTTGATGCCAGAAATGGAGAGCTTGGCATGCATCCCTGACAGATACATGCATTAAGATAGGGAGGCACATGAACCAGAATACAGCCATCAATAGGATAAAACATGCAAAAAAGTACAGATAAAAAGTCATCCTATAATAATACTATACCAAAACCCCCTTAATCTGACTAGGGAAAGTAACTGTTAGAAAAAATGGTGGGGGAAACATTTGTTACAGACTCCCTTATAATAAATCCCTTTATTTGAAATAAACCCTATTATTAGTGATATCTAATAAATAATCCACAGCATGGATTTTCCACACTGTGAATAGAATATTATATATAAGAATCATTCTCTGGCACAACACTCCAACTTCTGTGGGACATAGCAAAGGCAGTTCTAAGAGGAGAGTATATAGCAATCCAGGCCTATTTAAGCAAGGAAGATGAATCCCAAATGAATACTCTAAATTCACAACTATTGAAACTGGAAAAAGAAGTACAAATAAGGCCCAAAGTCAGCAGAAGGAGGGACATAATAAAGATCAGAGAAGAAATAAATAAAATTGAGAAGAATAAAACAACAGAAAAAAATTAATGAAACCAAGAGCTGGTTCTTTGAGAAAATAAACAAAATAGATAAACCCCTAGCCAGATTTACTGAGAAAAAGAGAATCTACACACATAAACAGAATTGGAAATGAGAAAGGAAAAATCACTACAGACAGCCCAGAAATACAAGGAATTATTACAGAATACTATGAAAATCTATATGCCAACAAACTGGATAATCTAGAAGAAATGGACAACTTTCTAGAAAAACACAACCTTCCAAGACTGACCAAGGAAGAAACAGAAAATCTAAACTGACCAATTACCAGCAACGAAATTGAATTGGTAATCAAAAAACTACCCAAGAACAAAACTACCCAAGAACAAAACTCCGGTACCAGATGTATTCACCGCTGAATTTTATCAGACATTTAGAGAAGACATACCCATTCTCCTTAAACTTTTCCAAAGAATAGAAGAGGAGGGAATACTCCCATATTCATTCTATGAAGCCAGCATCACTCTAATACCAAAACCAGGCAAAGACACTACAAAAAAAAGAAAACTACAGACCAATATCCCTGATGAACATAGATACAAAAATACTCAACAAAATATTAGCAAACTGAACTCAAAAATACATCAAGAGTATCATACACCATGATCAAGTGGGATTCATTTCAGGGATGCAAAGATGGTACAACATTCAAAAATCCATTAACATCACCCCCATCAACAAAAAGGACAAAAATCACATGATCATCTCCATAGATGCTGAAAAAGCATTCGACAAAATTCAACATCCATTCATGATAAAAACTCTCAACAAAATGGGTATAGAGGGCAAGTACCTCTACATAATAAAGGCCATATATGACAAACCCACAGCCAACATCATACTGAACAGTGAGAAGCTGAAAGCTTTTCCCCTAAGATCAGTAACAAGACAAGGATGCCCACTCTCCCTGCTTTTATTCAACATAGTACTGGAGGTCTTAGCCACGGCAATCAAACACAAAGAAATAAAAGGCATCCAGATTGGCAAGGAAGAAGTCAAACTGTCACTGTTTGCAGATGACATGAGATTGTACATAAAAAATTCTAAAGAATCCACTCCAAAACTACTAGAATATCTGAATTCAGCAAAGCTGCAGGATACAAAATTAATACACAGAAATCTATTTCATTCCGATACACTAACGATGAACTAGCAGAAAGAGAAATCAGGAAAACAATTCCATTCACAATTGCATCAAAAAGAATAAAATACCTAGGAATAAACCGAACCAAGGAAGTGAAAGACCTATACCCTGAAAACTACAAGACACTCTTGAGAGAAATTAAAGAGGACACTAATAAATGGAAATTCATCCCATGCTCTTCAGTAGGAAGAATTAATATTGTCAAAATGGCCATCCTGCCTAAAGCAATCCACAGATTCAATACAATCCTTATCAAAATACCAACAACATTCTTCAATAAACTAGAGCAAATAGTTCTAAAATTCATATGGAACCACAAAAGGCCCTGAATAGCCAAAGCAATCCTGAAAAGGAAGAATAAAGCTGGGGGGATTATGCTCCTTGACTTCAAGCTCTACTTCAAAGCCACAGTAATCAAGACAATTCGGTACTGGCACAAGAACAGAGCCCTAGACCAATGAAACAGACTAGAGAGCCCAGATATAAACTCAAGCATATATGGTCAATTAATATACAATAAAGGAGCCATGGACATACAGTGGGAAAATGACAGCCTCTTCAACAACTGGACAGCTACATGTAAGAGAATGAAACTGGATTACTGTCTAACCCCATACACAAAAGTAAACTTGGAATGGATCAAAGACCTGAATGTAAGTCATGAAACCATAAAACTCTTAGAAGACAACAGAGGCAAAAGTCTCCTGAACATAAACATGATCCACTTTTTCTGGAACACATCTCCTCGAACAATGGAAACAGAAGCAAAAATGAACACATGGGACTACATCAAACTAAAAAGCTTCTATACAGCAAAGGACAACATCAGCAGAACAAAAGGCATCCTACAGTATGGGAGAATATATTCGTAAATGACATATCCAATAAGAGTTTAATATACAAAATATATAAAGAGCTCACATGCCTCAACACCCAAAAAACAAATAACCCGATTAAAACATGGACAGAGGATATGAACAGATACTTCTCCAAAGAAGAAATTCAGATGGCACACGAAAAGATACTCATCGCTAATCATCAGGGAAATGCAAATTAAAACCACAATGAGGTATCACCTCACACCAGTAAGGATGGCCACCATCCAAAAGACAAACAACAAATGTTGGCCAGGTTGTAGAGAAAGGGGAATCCTCCTACACTGCTGGTGGAAATGTAAATTAGTTTAAACATTGTGGAAAGCAGTATGGAGGTTCCTCAAAAAGCTCAAAATAGAAATACCATTTGACCCAGGAATTCCACTTCTAGGAATTTACCCTAAGAATTCAGCAGCCAAGTCTGAAAAAGACATACGCACCTCTATGTTTATCGCAGCACTATTTACAATAGCCAAGAAATGGAAGCAACATAAGTGTCCATCAGTAGATGAACGGATAAAGAAGATGTGGTACATATACACAATGGAATACTATTCAGCCATAAGAAGAAAACAAATCCTACCATTTGCAACAACATGGATGGAGCTAGAGGGTATTATGCTCAGTGTAATAAGCGAGGTGGAGAAAGACAAGTATCAAATGATTTCACTCATCTGTGGAGTATTAACAACAAAGAACAGACTGAAGGAACAAAACAGCAGCAGAAACACAGAACCCAAGAATGGACTAACAGTTACCAAAGGGAAAGGGACTGGGGAGGATGGGTGGGAAGGGAGGGATAAGGGGGGAAAATGGGCATTACGATCAGCACACATAAGGTAGGGGGGAGGCACAGGGAAATCAGCATAAAACAGAGAAGACAAGTAGTGATTCTATAGCATCTTACTATGCTGATGGACAGTGACTGTAATGGGGTATGTGGTGGGGACTTGATAATGAGGTGAGTCTAGTAACCTACTGGTGCTCATGTAATTGTACATCAATGATACCAAAATTAAAATTAAAAAAAAGAATCATTCTCTGGTCCTTATGCCTTTCTCTGAACCCCCATTTTATACTATTACATCATACGCCATAATTTTCTTTAACATTTTTCTTATTTCTTTAATCGCCTAAAGTCAAACATAGATTAAAAGACCAAGTACAGATGAAAGTCCATATAAAAAATTCAAACGCAGATAAAACTAACCTATGATGTTAGCAAGTCTGGACAGTGGTTACCTTTGGTAAAGAGGAGATTATGACTGGGGATTAGGAGAACTGGGGCTTCTGGGATACTGAAAATGTTTTATATTTTTATTTGGGTGGTAGTTATACAGGTGTGTTCATTTATAAGCTGCACACATGATTTGCACTTTCCTGTTTGTATGTTAAAACTCCTAAAAGTCTTTTAAATAATAACCTTTAAGGTTTAAACAAATAAACCTTTTAAAAAGGAAAAGTAAATAAGTTGTGTTATTTTAAACTGGAAACTATTCAAAAGCATCTGATTAGCAAATTGCCAAAACTGTGTATTTTTTATATGTACTGTCAAAATATACACCAATTAGCACATATTGCTATGTACCTCATATTTTTAATTAATAAATTCCAGAAATAATTTGAAAAAATAATGATCTTAAATCTGACTATGAGTTTGAAATGTTAACAATAACTATAGCTGCATTTCCTTTAAACAAAATACAAGAACAGATTATCATTTGTAAACAAACAACTAAAATCCAAACAGGGAAGCACTAACCCTCGGGTTTACACTTGTATCTCTTACAAAATTCTGTATGATTTATGAAATATAAAAACAAACAACAAAAATGGTATGATCAAGGCAAAAAAAAGGAAAGGCACACACCCTAAACCATCTTCTTGAAATAACACATTCCTGATTAGATTTTTTGACTACTTTAAACCAAATTAGGAATAATTAACAATTAGAGCAAGGACAATATAAAAAGATACAGCTGAAAGAGTGGTTATTATTAATATCTTAAATTTCTGGTTTTCGGGGAATTTTTCACTAGTAGGAGACAAAAAAGTCCATTCTCTCATTGTGCTTTACAACAGAGAAGTTTCCTTTTCCGCACCGTGAAGAAGAAATAAAAATACCCAAACATTCACTCAGAATGCAGAAGCGATAAACTAAATTACTTATTTTCTACAGAATCTCATGGTATAAATAAACTAAGTCACTTACTTTCTACAGAACATCAAGAGAAAAATTTTGCCCAAAATTGGAGTCACACACTTTTACCTTTTAAAAACTTGGTCAAAATTGAGAGTTTTGTGCAAAACCCATAGATACTGATTCCTACACCCCCCCCTTTCACTATGATTTCTTCTCATTCTAGGTAATGAAATTCCTAAGTTAGAAAGTGGAGTGTGGATGTGGAATCATGCCCTTCCCCCGTGCTTACCTCCATACCAAAGATGAATGACTCAGTGGACAATACTGAGCAAGAAACTGATATCAAACACTATAAAATTCTCCCACAGAAGGGTTTCTGAATCTGCATGTGTAATCTAGCAGAGCTGTTTCTGACAGTTTAAGTTTGAAGACAGCAGGAGTCTTGCCCCAGAGTGGGGAACCTTCAGCACATATACACCAAATGTGTACTTAAGTGAAACTCTGTAACATATGGTACTGAGTTCCTCTCTCATTCTCCACGGTAACTACCCTACAATCTATTTGCAAGAATGCCTAGAAGAGATTTTTTAAAGGCCACTTATAACTATTTCTACTGAATATCCAATTAGTTAGAATACGTTGTTTTTAAAACTATTTTCTTTACCTAGTGGAGGCTGAAGTAAGCGCCCTTCCTTTTCACATGTTCCAACTGGCTGTATGTCTGGAGAATCGACAAGTTTCCAAAAATCATTTCTGTTATCACTACCATCCAATCTTAAACATAGTCTAGCACCAGTAATTCCAACAACTGTAGCGATGCATACTGAAGTCATATTGCGAGGATCATGGGCTTCCAATTTCATACCAACTTCGAAGTCATTAGCCGGTGGAATTTTGGCCTATATATATATACACACACATAAATAAAATTTTGTTAAAATGCATAAACTATAAGAAAAACAAACTGTCAGTTATGTTACCAGAATACCTGAGAAACATTTTAAGGTAAGAATCACAGCAGATGGTGACCGCAGTAACAGCTGCAAGAGTCAAGAAAAAGATATTCTCCAAACCCTCTCCTTGGCTTGACATGCAGCATAAAAACACTGCCCATGGCTTGTCTCACTCATCTGCCCACTTCCAGACAACCCAAATAGAGCCTCTAAAATGCACCCTGAATGGCTTTCTAAATTAAGCATCCAATTAGGCCACCCACCTTGATAAACCAACCAGCAGGGTACCACTGCCTAACATAAAGTCCAAATCCTCAGTACAATTTCAAAACCCTCACACCTTTAACCTCATTCCCACATCACCACCTCTACCCACTTTGTGCTCCAGCCGCCCCTTGCCATCCCTCAATATTTAGGTTGTTTTACACTCATGTGCCTTTGTTTGGTGTTCTCTACCCAGAATATCCTTCTCCTCATTCCAACCATCTCATATAATAGCACTTCTTCTGTGAGCCCTTCCAGTAGAGACTTATGACATTTCTCATAATTATTTACATATCTGTCTTTCCTTCCAGATGGACAAGCATAAGGGCTTAGTATAACTGACATAGAGTAAATTCCTAACAAATGAATGCAGAGACCATCTGGCTCTTAAGTGTCACTACCACAATCCCACTCTCTCCTCACACTACCAGAACCTAATGATCACACAAACATCCTTCAACAAGTTAATAGTTTACACTAATATATACAACATCTATAGAAGTTTGGCATACCTGTCTGAAACACTCTGAAGGAGCCCTTAAAGATTCAGTCTCTTTCAAGTAATCGTCCCAATGGAAATCATCTGGGGGAAAAAACATGTACAAAATCAGCATTTTTTTAGTACATACAATATGTATACTAACTTTCAGGAATAAAATGAGTTTTATTTACGTATCTTAAAAAAAATACTTCCTAAAGAGATCAATATTTGATGAGTTGCATGGAAATAAAAAAATTAGGTAACTTTCTGATAATAATGGCTCTGATATACATAACACTCCAAATCTGCTCAATATAATGAGGACAGCAGCACTGTGATTATAAAAATATCAACTCCAGAAATGCTTAAAGGACTTTTTATAGAGTAATAGCAATTTCTACTCATCTGTCTCTAATATAAATTTACTCAACCTGTGTTTCCCATTTTTATCCCAATATGAAGGTGTGTATCTTTGTTGTTCATGGGAAGCTATAAGTATGTACTATAACAGAATTTTACCCTGAAGTGCTTATGAAAAGGAAAAATCTGAGAACCAAAGTTGTTGTTTCTCAATGGACTATCAGAGCTCCATCCAGGATGTCAAAAACATGGTGGCAGAACAAAGCAATAAACCACTCTTTGGTGCAGTCACTGATATGGATTATTTTAATAATCTACATTTCCTATCAACTCTTCCTGTCCTTTCTGTCACACAGTCTTCATGATATACTATAATGCTAGAGGAGAAGGTCAGAAAGCAGTGTACTTTGTCTGGCTTGAACAATTCGCTGTGCCAGTCAGACTGCCAAGACACAGAAAAACTTGACAGCAGTATTAAAGGTACTATTAATTCATACAAAGTTTAATTCTCATGAACAATGAGGTTTTTCTATACTCTTAATTTCCTCACTATAAAAATACTGGGTTTGGCAGTTCCGCATTCCTGGGCGAATCTGTTACCAGCCTCTGATATATCCTTCAAAGGATATGATATATATACACACACAGAAAAATGGAGTGTTGATAAATGCTTAATAAGCAGCTTTCCAGAAAATATAAACAAAAAACCTAACTGGTAATGTTTGCAGATTTCTGCGATGTAAATACTACCAGCAAGATGCCAAAGTGAAGTAATCAACAACAAAGTTGGGAAGACATGTGCACAACTGACTCTCTCAAGCTGTCATGAGCCATGGCATACCACAGTTAATTGTGTGCGTTCACTTACAGGTGTATGTACACATATTATATATGGTATTAAGCATGTCACACCTAACATTGTACACCCTGCCTTTTTTTCTAATACAATATATCTACGAGACTGTTCCATCTCTTAAAAAAAAAAAAAATACTGGATCTAATTCCACTTCCAGACGATGTGAGGCAAGCACTACCACAGTGCTGAAAGGCATTCAGCAGAATGTCAAGAATATGGGCTTCAAAGTTGAACCTGCTTCCCCCAGTCTGGCTCTGCCTCTTACTATCTGTGTGACCCAGAGCAAGTCATTTTACTTTCTCAGCCTCAGTTTTCCTGCATCTATAAAATAGGGGAAAATAACACATATGGTACAAGGTATTTTGAGAATTAAGTGAAGTAGCATACATGTGAGTCACTCAATAAACGGTATGTTTATTATTATAAAATTAAATGTCATAGCTGTTCCCAAATTTACATATACTGGGTATTTTTGTCAAAAGTGGAAACTAAGATCAATGGCTCCAAAATTAAACTGACCAGAATATTTCAGTGACCTCCTAGGCACTAACCCAATAATCAGAAGACCCAGAAGCTCTACCACGATTTGGTCTTAGCATTAAAAAAACAGAATAAAACATGAATGGAAGGAAAAATACGACTAGGATGTCATTAAGGAGCTGGCATCTAAGGAAGAAAGGAGTGTTAAATTGAAGATGACTGGAAACTAAAACCACTTCACAATTATGCCTCAAAGAATTATGACTCTTCCATAAATCAGTTACATTTGTAAAATTTTTCAGTGACATTAGGAAATACTTAATCCACCTCTAACACAATTTTTAAAAATATTCTATCACTACTTGCATCTGAAGGGGCTATAATTTGAGCTAGCAAATACTTTATACTGGTGCTCTATAATATGGTCATTTTTTATCACATTGTTAGCCAATGCACATATGTAGCATTTAACCAATGGAGCCTTAATTCTTTTCCTTATTCATAAAGCAGAGCTTTTAATCTGTAAAACTGTTCAGCTTGGCTGCTCATGTGCTAAGACCCTACCAGTAACATAGGGGAAATATATATAGCAACAGGCTTTACTAGTTTAGATTTGACACGTCTACAATACCACAGCTGGAATTCCTGACCAGGAGCCAAAATGGTCAGAAACTCCCAGTCTGCCTCTGCATCTTATCCTCATTGACAGATGGGGGGGCAGTTATTCTCTCTCAGAAAAGAGGACTGGGAATAGATATGTTTGCCCACAAGACAGGTATACATACACAACCTTGTAATCTAATTGTTGTTCACACATGCCCATGGGTCCTTATTTGACTTGTACTCTATTCCAGTCCAGGCATTAGATCAAATACCTTTGGCAAACTAGACATGATCTGTATAAGCCCCCCTGGTTTTCTCCAGAGTAAATCAGAATCATGTCTTCCATCAGTGCTTGGATTGGGTTCAGAGGTCCTGTCATGAAGATAGGCAAAATAACTAGAACCAGCAGCTTCTCAGCTCAGTGATCAGCACCCACTACTTCATAGCATTTTGAATTTTGAAGTTCCTTTAAGGTACTATTTTTTAAATTTATTTTTATGAATTTCCATAAAGGCAAATCTACAGAGACAAAAAGTAGGTAACTGGTTGCCCAGAGGTGGGGGAGGGGAGAGGCACTGCAGGCAACAAGGAATGACTGCTAACTGGGTACAGGATTTCTTTTTAGGGTGATAAAAATGTTCTAAAATGATCGTGCTGATGGTCATAAAATTCTGTAAATATAATAAGAATCACTGTATTGTATACTTTAAGTGGATGAATTGTATCTCAGTAAAACTGTTATCTTTTAAAAAAAAAAGATGGAGAGGATTCTGTAGAGATGAGGAAGACCATTTGGCCTCCATTTCCTTGGAGGGTTTTTGGAGTTGCAGGAAAGAGCTGAAGAACAAAAAAAGCCAATGGAAAAGAAAGCTAAGGAAGCACCAAGGGGGGTGCTCAGCTACAGTGAGAATGATTCCATGGGGACTACCTCTACAGGCAATCTTCCTGTAAGAACAGAAAGTGGGACTGGAAGGACAGGTACAACAGAAAGACAAAGAGCAGATTTGCCTGGAAATCACTCTTAAGTACACTAGGTTTACAAACAGTATGTTTTTATTCAGCCTTCTGTATGCATGACTCATTTTCTCATTTTCCTTAAGAGCAGGTGCAGTGGTCATATTCTATCTCCTGAGTTTCTGATGCAGTGCTATACACATGCTATTCATAATAAGGCACTTAAAACATGAACTAATAGCTCAGGGTTAATGAAGTTAACATTCACTGAACATTTTCCATATCCCTAAGTATTATATTAAGTGCTTTACATTCTCTTTTTTTATCTAATTCCAATATTCCCATGAGGTTAGTAGCATTAACCTATGCTACAGAGAAGAACTTTGAGTAATTTGCCCAAGGTCACAAGGCCAGTAGAGAATGGGGCCAAGACCCTAGAACAGGTCTTCTCAGACCTCTCAATGTCTTAACTTTTATCTACCAAACTGCCTTCTGACCATCACAAAAGGCCTTTCACACTGACTTTAATGCTAAAATAAGGGTTTTTATTAATAATCAAATTATTTTAAACTGGTAATACATGGTAATTAATAACTAAGTATTTTAATTGGGCAAAATTCTCAGTGAAATACATGGTTATCCTTTTACTTAATCCCATACCAATTTACCTCTAAGTAAAACCAAAGTAAAATTTTCAAAATAAAATACTATTTTTTTACCTTTCCTACTGCTTAGGTTTTATATTTACAGGAGTTTACTGTACATAGACTAAAAGCAAAAAGAGTTCACATTAACACTGGGTAGAGAAGAAAAATATGGCGTGCTGAACTACTTTGAATCCTGGCACTTTGCACAGAAGATGCACCTGAGCGAGGAGCTTTCTTAAAAAAAAGGGAAGAAAAAGAAAGGCAATAGTGAGCAATGCCAGAAGTTCATAGCAATAGTCTGAAAGAGCACTTAGAAAAACTATAAACTAAAACTATTTTCTAACAGGAGCCAGTTTTAATTTTATAATTTTATAACACCCTCAATAATTCTCTGCATAGAACTTCATTTTCTAATATACTATATGCCTTATAATTTGTGTATTTATTTTGTTTATTGTATGTCTTACTGCACTCAAATATAAGTTCCAAAAGAGCAGCGATTTATTTATTTTCTCTGTTTTGGTCACTGCTGAAGCCTCAGTACCTAGAATAGGACCTGGCATACAGAACATCCTCAAACATTTGTTACATGAATGAATGAACAAACCAAAAAAAGCTGAGCTGATCCTTACAATGGTTAAATCAGTTTGCCCTAGAAATAACGTAGATGTTTCTGAGAGTTTAAAACATAACAGGGAAGCTAGAATACAATATAATTCAATGGACAAGGCAGTTTTTTCTCTGTGCCTAGCTGATGTGTACTTCTCAAAGGAGGCTCCTAGTACCTAGTTCTCTCTTCTTTTGGTGATATAAGCAGCCACAGATGGCTATTGCCTAGATCCATTGGCTCATCATTGCCAAACAGAGGTATTCTAATTTTGTCATCTTGTCTTTATTAGCCAGAAAACTTCTACAGATAGAACCCTCCGCTCTTTGACCACTGAGTCACCCTGAGGTATAGATAACATGGGGAAGTCATGATCAATGCTGCCTTTTCCTTTATTTCCTAGTTTTGAAAGTAATGAACTCGATCCCTACCATTCTTCACATGACAATAAATTGTTTTATTTTTTAATATCATTATGAACTCATGGATTTAACCATACTTGCTCTGTTTCCATCTATTGCTGTTTTACCCTAACTGATATTCAAATTGTCAAATGACAAGCTTCTTAAAGAAAGATCTATAAAAGATCTAAACACCTAACATCCGAATCTAAGCACCTATTATCTCCTGTAACTTTATTTTATTTTTTCTACATAAACAAGATTTATTGGGGAGTGCACTCAGGATCAATACCTGGGGGATGAGAAGGAAGCAGAATTGAGCAGAGGGAAATTGAACTGCAGTTCAATCACAACAAAGGCCTGAAGCTAATTCTCTAGTGACTGATTCTGAATCTCAGATCTTCATACCCAATCATTAACCAGTGTTTAGTTGGGGGCCCTCCCAGGAAAGGGCAGATGACCATTCTTTCTCTTTTTAATTTTTTTATATTGAGGCATATACAATCACGTACAAATCTTAGTGCACAGCTTGATTAATTTTGACACATACACTCATGTAACCATTACCCAGATCAAGATATCAAACATTCTCTCTAATTGTACTCCCCCTTCACCTATTTTACCCACTCTCCACACCACCCTTCCGTATGGCAACTACCAGTCTGTTCTCTGGGTTTGAGTCACTTGTTTTTTAGATTCTACAAATAGGTGAAATGATAATGGTATTTCTCTTTCTCTATCTGACCTATTTTACTTAGCATAATAACCTCTAGGTCCATCCATGTTGTCACAAATGGCAAGATTTCATTCTTTTTCATGGCTAACATTCCACTGCATATACCTAACACACCTTTTTTATCTACTCATCTACTGATAGACACTTAAGTTGTTTTAATATTTTAGCTATTGTAAATAACACTGCATATATCCTTTTGGATTAGGGATTTTTTCTTTGGGTAAAATCCCAAAAGTTTTCTCCTCTAACTTTACTTTTAAAAAGGCTTTTTTCAAAACTTCAGTCTACCAGAACATACTCATTGCAAATGAACAACTAAAAATATCATCTTTAGACAAGTAAACTTTACCTTCATTTACTGTTTGCCCCATGGTATCTCCTTCTGGTGCTCTCTCCTACAAGGAAAAAAATCAATTAATGCCTCTCTTTAGCATAATACATTTCTGAAGGGTACTAGCATTAGAAATCAGTTACAGAGTTAGATCATTTTAATCCCTTTCCCTTGAATAAAAATGGTAGGTTCAGTAGATTAGTAGTTGTCAGGGGTAGGACAAGAGATACGAGTACGTGTAAGGAGTTTCTTTTCTGGGGTGATGAAAATGTTCTGGAATTACATAGTGGTTGGTAATGGTTCTACAACCTTGTGAATACATTAAAAATCACTGAATATACATTTTAAAAGGGCTAATTTTATGATTAAATGAACAAAAAAGAGCAGATGATATGTTCTTAAGAGACAGGATTCAAATTGAGGCCTATACCAAAAGCTCACATAAGCCCATGTTACTGAGAGGTAGAAGAATCATAACTGTGTTGGTGAAATTTGGAAGAACTGCAAGAGTCAAGTATTCTAACAAGGCAGTTACATGTTAGAAGGCCTGTGTATTTTGAGCCACTAATTAATTAATTCAAACATTTTCCTACATGTCTTCAATATGCCAGGCACTATGTCCAGTTAGAAATAGGCATGTGAACAAAACACAGTAAGAGCGCCATAAAGGAGAGATGTATACAGAAATACTTAGTATATCAAAAGGCTATCTACTTCCCATTACTCTATGCCCATAGTCAGAGCACAATGATGTATATAATTTAAAGGAAAGGAGCGACACACAGCAGCAATTCACCGGAGAATTCGCTTTATTAGGGAAAGGTGCTGGGTTATATAGGAAGGGGCATGAATTGACTGAGGTGTCACTTCTACGGGGCTGGTGGCTGTTGGCTAGGTGCTGGGATTGGGAGGAAACATCTTGTCAATGACTGTGTTTACAGCATTTATAGAAGTGTGACTGTTACATTGAATGTGAGTTAATGGTTAACAGTCAACCATCTACCTACCATGTCCTGAGAATCATGCTAGCTTCTTCAGATACATACTGTTCTTTCATAAAGCTGTTACGAGGTAGGTACCTTTATTCCCATTTTACACATTAGGAAATTGAATGCCATATATTTCCTAAGTGGCAGAACCAAGTTCTGAACATACACTTGAACGTTTCCTATTCCACCCTTGGGGAATCATACGCTTTCCTCACAGGCTATGTATATAAACATTCAATAATTCTTTTACTTATTTATACCCTGCTTTTCCTTTTCCCCCTTTGCCAAAATAAACTTGACACAGCTTTTTAATGATGTTAGCATAGGCTGGAACATCACCGCTTCTTTTACATTATATGGGAATATCCCACACACAGTAGGAATTTGTAAATATTTGTTGAACTAGTGAATGGACCAATAGATGAATGAACACCTAGTATATTATGATCAATTAATTTTTCTTTAAAAATATGAAACTAAGGATAAACAAAAAAATAAAACATAAAAGTAATTCAGTTCTACTTGAATTGAGAGAATAGACTAAGGCTGGTAAAACCCAAATTTTCATGATCATTTTTCAAGCCTCAGATTTGCTTCTGTCAACTGGCTCCTATAGTTCTGTCTGATTCGGCCTGTGATAACTTCAGAGATTTGTTGTCCCCACTAAGCCCAAATCCAATGCAAAATAGTCCTGTATCTCAAGTGTGCTTAATTACTTCCTTTGTACCTTTCTTTACAATTTATTAGTCCACCAGAATAAAAGATGAACTTCTTTCCTAGATACCTAAATTTACTAGATTCCCATCAGCACACATGCTCCTACTGAAACAATATTATCTGCATAAGAAAACATTTTAGGGCCATTAGTGAAGACTCCCTAGGTTTTCCCACTTCATGTGCTCCTTTCTCCCTGAAACACAGAAGCCTAAACAATAACTTAACATAAGCCTGGCAGAAACTGCAGATCCAAGGTATTCCTGGTAAACTCTCCATTCCTATTTTCACGTTATGGAAAAAAATCCATACAATACGTATTAAATAACTAATAAATTAACTAAAAATATGAATGAACATACAAACATCCTCAGATCCTTGTATCTAAAATATTACCACTTCTCTCTCACTAAACCATGAACACGTTATCATGAAGATATAAATTATATTTGCTATTGAATTGATGGTTACAATAAAGCTCTTTTCCTATCTTCAAAACAGTAACTTCCTTGGAAAAATATCAAAAGCTAAAATCTCATTCTTCAACGAACTGAAAAAAAACTTCTAAAATTCATATGGAACCATCAAAAACCCCGAATAGCCAAAGCAATCCTGAGAAGGAAGAATAAACTGGGGGGGTCTCGCTCCCCACCTTCAAGCTCTACTACAAAGCCACAGTAATCAACACAATTTGGTACTGGCACAAGAACAGAGCCTAAGACCAGTGCAACAGAATAGAGACTCCAGACATTAACCCAAACATATATAGTCCATTAATATACGATAAAGGAGCCATGGACATACAATGGGGAAATGACAGCCTCTTCAACAGCTGGTGTTGGCAAAACTGGACAGCTACATGTAAAACAATGAAACTACACCACTGTCTAACCCTATACACAATAGTAAATTCGAAATGGATCAAAGACCTGAATGTAATTCATGAAACCATACAACTCTTAGAAAAAAACATAGGCAAAAATCTCTTGGATGTGAACATGAGCGACTTCTTCATGAACATATCTCCCCGGGCAAGGGAAACAAAAGCTAAAATGAACAAGTGGGACTATATCAAGCTGAAAAGCTTTTGTACAGCAAAGGACACCACCAATACAATAAAAAGGCAGCCTACAGTATGGGAGAATATATTCATAAATGACAGATCCGATAAAGGGTTGACATCCAAAATATATAAAGAGCTCACACACCTCAACAAACAAAAAGCAAATAATCCAAGTAAAAACTGAGCAGAGGAGCTGAACAAGACACTTCTCCAAAGAAGAAGTTCAGATGGCCAACAGGCCCATGAAAAGATGCTCCACATCACTAGTCATCAGAGAAATGCAAATTAAAACCACAATGAGATATCACCTCACACCAGTAAGGATGGCCACCATCCAAAAGACAAACAACAACAAATGTTGGCCAGGTTGTGGAGAAAGGGGAACCCTCTTACACTGCTGGTGGGAATGTAAATTAGTTCAACCATTGTGGAAAGCAGTATGGAGGCTCCACAAAAAGCTCAGAATACAAATACCATTTGACCCAGAAATTCCACTTCTAGCAATTTACCCTAAGAAATCAGCAGCCCAGTTTGAAAAAGACAGATGCACCCCTATGTTTACTGCAGCACTATTTACAATAGCCAAGGAAGGGAAGCAACCTAAGTGTCCATCAGTAGATGAATGAATAAAGATGTGGTACATATACACAATGCAATATTACTCAGCCATAAGAAGAAAACAAATCCTACCATTTGCAACAACATGGATGGAGCTAGAGGGGATTACACTCAGTGAAATAAGCCAGGCGGAGAAAGACAAGCACCAAATGATTTCCCTCATCTGTGGAGTATAAGAACAAAGTAAAAACTGAAGGAAAAAAACAGCAGCAGAATCACAGAACCCAAGAAAGGACTAACAGTTGCCAAACGGAAAAGGTCTTGGTAGGATGGGTGGGAAGGGACAGAGAATGGGGCAGGGGGGCAGGGAGAAAGGGGGCCTTACGAATAGCATGTATAATGTGGGGTTGTGGGGTGTGGGGCACGGCGAGGGCTGTGCAACACAGAGAAGAGAAGCTGTAATTTTACAGTATCTCATTACGCTGACGGACAGTGACTAATCGGGTATGTGGGGGGGGAACTTGGTGAAGGGAGGAGTCTAGTAAACATAATGTTCCTCACGTAATTGTAGATTAATGATACCAAAATTTAAAAAAAAACACAATAACCTTAAATAGAAACCAGTAACTACCTACCTGACCTAGACCAAACATTTCGGCAGAGAGGAGACCAAATTACAGTTCAGACCTAAAAGCAACGTACAACCGCAGGGCGCAAAACCTATCAAATTCGCATACTCGCTCTCCGTACGACGGTTCACACTAGGATATAGCACAACCAGTACTCAGCTGGAAAAGGCGAGAACGCAGTCTCTTAATGAAGGCAGCAATGGTCCCTAGACCCACTCGTGCCGCGAGGGCACTGCGGCCACCTCGCTGCTCCTCCGGAGCATTGGCGCCCAGCGCTCCGCTCCGCCTCCCACAGGGGACCGCGCCCCCACCTCGCCCCCTTCTTCCCCAAGGCGAGCCACCGGCGACCCCTGCCACCTCCAAGCGCCCGGAGCTCCGGGCGCGAGGCCGAAGGGCACCTGGCACTGGGACGCGAGCCCGCGCTCCGCGACAGGTGCATCCTTCCGGGCCAACGTTTCCCTCCCAAACTCCCAAAGTTACTTAACAAGTCCCCGGAAGGCAATCGGGTGGGTTTCAGCCCCAAGCACTCAAAGTCAACCCTGCACCTCAAGCCCGCAGCCCACCCGCACCAGCCCGGGACCCCAGCCCGACCGCACTCACAGAGGGAGGATACTCGGGAGGGTGCTCTGCGCTTTTCGGGGCAGGGGACGATCGGACCGCGGCCCGGAACCCGGACGCCGCGGGCGGGATGGGCCCGCGCCCGGCGACGGGCCCTGGGGGAGTGGTAAGGCGAGCCGCGAATACTGGGGGGCGTCGCGAAGAGCGCTACACGGCGCAGAGGAGCGCTCGCCTCGGGAGTGAGGCCGCCGAAGCCGGCGGGGCCCACTTACGGCCGAACCCCGCGGGCCGGCGAGGGGGTGTTTCTCGCGCACGACTACCGTGCGACGGTTCCCGGCCGCCCACCTGCCCGCGGACAACGACCAGAGCCCGGACGCCACGTCGCGGTCTCTCTGCTACTCACAGGGCCTGAAGTCGCCATGCGCCTCGGGTCTCGTCGGCCACAGCAGGGATATTCTGTCCAGTGGAATCGCGAACGGTTTGCCGGTCTTCACACCGCCGCCGCCAGGTTTGAGAAGCCGCGCGTGGACCCGCGCCTGCCCCGCCCACGCCA